AAGGATACACTGTGTAATTATGAACTCTTCATGATAGGTTTATTTTGTGTTGTTCATTGAATTCATGAGCAAAAGCACAAGAACAAGGATGAATGTTCAAAATGCATAGTTATTAAATTCAAACCCAAAATTTGGTAAAATTCAATAATAGCTCCTCAAAAAACCTGTTGGTCGACTGTTGGCCAACAGTCGACAGTTGACCGACAAACGGCCGACAGTCGACTGACTAACGGCAGACAGATGACCAACAGTCGGCCAACGGGCAACCAACAGCTGGCTGACAAACGGCCAACAGTAAGCCAACTGTTTACCGACAGTTTCAGCAGTTCTCAGGTAAAAGTGTCGGCCAACAGTTGGCCGTTTGTTGGCTGACTGTCGGTTACCTGTTGGTTATTTGTTGGTAAGTTGACATCAAGCTGTGGGTTCACCCAACATCAATCCTGACAAAACTCTTTTTTTGTCCATCGTGTTTAATTTTTTTTTCCAGTAGCCAACTCGAAAGCTATGCTACTTTGGTCACTGTGCACATTTTACTTTTGATTGTTGATGTAATCTACTGTTTTTTATATATTCTGACTTTTATAATCTGTAGTAACCTCTTGAAATAGTGCGAATAAAGAGTTTCACAATCCCCCAGCTTTTTTTTGAAGTCCCAATCCTCCTTTTTTTATGAAAATCCCAGTTGAAGGGTTTCCTTTAAAAAGTTATTTATATTTATTTGTAGTCCCTAATTCTGTTTATTTCTTTATTTTTTGTATTTCGACATGACAATTAGTTGGTCATTGCTTTTGCAAATGTGGTGGCTCCCAAAGGAGCCGTTTAATGTTTGTTCGCCGAGCTCTATTCGTAGAACCTTGCTCACAATGCACTGTTGGGCGATTTCGGAGTTGTGATCTAAGCCAACCTTATCCAAGTGTTTTTGATCAAGGAATACAGAACGGGTTATTGTACAAGTGGATTCAAGTGGATTAAAGGATTGTATGACAAGTGTTTACCGGGATTTTATTTAAACCAGGTTATTTGCATGAGTTTAGTCTATTAAAAAATAATCTGTCGGTATACTGTCGGTTGACAGTCGGTGAACTGTTGGTCAACTGTTGGCCGACACTTTACCGACAGTAGGCCGACAAGCTTTCTGGGAAGCTATTATTGAATTTTACCCAAAATTTTAAGCTTAATAATTTCATTCTTGACACCATTTACTAAATCCGAAAAAAATGTCTTGCAGATACTACCAGCTGGGGTACTTAACCTTTGAATGAAAATACTGAAAATGAAAAAAAAAGTGGGAAGAAAAAATACAGTGGAAGGTACATTGTAGTCTGCAAACAAGTCCCCATGAGTGCTTTGCCACACGCCACACACATTTCTCCACCCATGGGAGAGTATGAATACTTAATGAGCAATGCAAGCCAGCAAGAGGGCTACCTAGGAGTGTAAGACTGATATTATTAGTGCGAGACACCCAGCAAAACTGTTCCTGACTTGTCTAAAATCCTCTTGCTGGTGGAGAAACATGTCATTTTAATGATCAGGAGGGAGAGAAGGAGGAAGATGTTGAGAAGGCCTGATGGCTCA